CCAAAGCCATCAGCCTCTTAGTCAATTGTTCCACCTCATCTCTCTAACTGTTCTGAAGTTCTAATGATACAATAATAAAAATGATCTTTTCTGTTTCTAGATGCCATTTGCTCTCTGGTAATTAGCAAATAACTTGACTACATGTATTTTAACCTGTTGGTATTCCTTTTTCTTTTTAATTTTCCTTAGCTCTCATTGGTAGGTTTTAGACTTACAATCTTACACAGGTTGACTATTGCATCTGTTTTCATATGAAAAAAGGTGAGGGTATTTTGTGCCCATGCACTCTAATGTATGTATATGGTGGATTAGAAAGGAGACCCTCAATCACATGCTAAAATTCTCTAGATCAATAATCTGTGAGTGAAAAGGATTTGTATATTTGATATAATTATGTAAATACAACTTCAAAGTAAATGTTCTTCAAGTTTTTGTAGCAAGGTTTGATTTTGTTTTCCTCCATAATTTTTGAACTGGAATGGCAGATATCAAAGTTTGAAGAGAAGAGTTAATACACATAAACTGATAGAGAGTTGCAGCTGCTAAAAGACAAGATCTCTTCCAGCAGTAACTGTACCTCTCTGCCAGAGAAACTCCATGGAGGTTTACATCTTCTGTCTTGCGTGTACTTTTACATTGAATAAAACAAAACCAAAACAAATCAAAACAAAAAACAAAACAAGCCAAACAACAAACCAAACCAAAACCCAAATCTCAATAAGATAGTCAGAGGCCTCAAGTGACTCTAGTTCCAAAGGTGTCAACAGAAAATCCAGCACCATTAACCGTGGGAAGCCACATCTTAAAGGTTTGATGCTCGTTACCTTCATTCTTTGATTTGCATAGGAAACTTGCCTCCACTATTTTTTGCAGAGCTGCTATTTATTACAGAGGTATCCCAGTTTAGTGTCAGCGAGGTGCACTGATTGCTGGTTATCTGCTTCATACATAGCTGAAGGTCTCACATCTTTGATGGTTTGGCATTATGCTCCTCTATGCTTAGCAGGCAAGTCCTGAGTCTCCCACACAGTACACTGGAGGGAGCTGCATGCTGAGAAGCCAGAAGTCTTACGTCGGTGTTTCACAGTGCAGAAGATATGAAAAAATGCAGTCCTTATGGTGATGTTTACACTCTTCACAGTGAGAAAAAGCTTTCCTGCTACACAACCCACATCCTTAAACTCTCATGTGCACCGCCCCTTCCCCATACGTGCGCATTGCACACAGACTGCGGCTGAAGGCTGGTATTCCTCTCAGACTGCAGAACACTGCTGCTCCCATCCTTCAGACCAGGTGATACGCTTGCCTCAATTAAATCTCTGGCCTCTGTGAAATGTCTTCCTCTCCTCCCCCTCCTTACCATGCCATTTTGTGCTATTTCTTTAAAAGGTGACACAGGCCCATCAGGGAATTTCCTTTTCACTTTTTACACTAATATTTCCAGATGGTGGAACATGGGGTGTTCATCTTCTTTCTTCAGCCATTTCAAGGTTTATTGACTGTGTAGGAGATGAAAGTTGCACAGCAGGCTCTTGGAGTTGAAAACTATTTGTTTACCCTTTGATCAGAGCCAAATATTTTTCTGCCAGATAAAATGTACTGTCAGGCAAATTCTCTAAGCAGGTTTCCATGCAGCAGCAGCACACCCTACTACTTCCCTCTCCTTCTGGCCCTTTGTAACATGCAGACTAGGCACTTCCCTAGCTAAGGAGAGCACCACTGTCCTCTAACCCTGTCACAGACCTAATGAAGGGCTGAAATGGGGTTTATCTGCCCTCATTTTTTTTTTGTCTAGGAGTGCAAACCTAGAGCTTGTCATCCACAGCTTCCTATTCTTAAGTAATTTGACATCCTTGTTTCCTTGCAACCCATTGGGTCACCTTTCTCTAGTGGTGTGCCACATGCAGAAGTGTTTGAAAAAAAGGAGCCTTAGGAAAGAGGTGCCCCTTTAGTGTGGTGTTTAGGCTCATGAAAGCTGCTCAGCTCTGTTTTGATGTCTCAAGAAAGGAACAGAAGATACCTAGAACTATTTGGAGTCCTTACTCTGGGTCCTCCACCATGACAGCAGGTCAATAAACAGAAGTTAAACTTCATAGAGGAACCATTCCTACCAAAGAGCTGATATTATCCTTCATATGGTGAAATCTGATGACAGTGAGACATGCAATAAAGCCCACTTGCTAATACCAGCAGATTTTATGCCGCCTGCCACAAAAACAGTGAGCTTTTCAAAAGGTTCCTGCAGCAAGGCTGATTTTCCATCTGGAGTACAAATCACTGCCTACATATTAGGGAGCTGCCATTTCAAATGGTGTCCAGAAGTTCAGACATCATAAACCAAATTACCTGAGCTTAGTGATCTGGGGGATTTGGATTTTAAGAAGCTTTCCCACTTTTTGAACACTTGTAATCAAATGGTTGGCTTCGTAGACTTGATTAAAATGGTAATGTTTACTCTTTCTAAGACTAATTTCTCCTACTTTAATACTCAGTTTCTTGGTTTATGCACCTGCCTAAATCCTCCCCCCCCCCCCCCCCCCCCCAAAATAATGTATATTTATTCTTGTGTTTGCCAGGTTAAAAATTGCATGTGGTTAGCTAGTTGTGCAATTCATACTTTCCTTACAGAACTAAGCATGTTCTAAATCATATCTGCCAGATATCCTATAGAAGACAAAGATTTTGTTTTTGAATTGAGTAATAGTTGTAAGATCTTCTGGTAGTTCCTCACCAAAACAGTAAGCTACAGCAGTAAGCTACAACATGTTTTATACTACTAGAACCCCATTTCAGCAGGGTTTGAGACAGACCGTCAGAGCTGAGGAAGGATTCATTTCTGCTTATTGGTTTGCAGCAAGCACGGTTGTATTCCCATCAACGGGGCGGGCAGCCAGCCTGTGCACGCATACAGGATGGGGTGTGTCCACATCCTCTTACCATACACCATCATCTCCCCCCAAGAGTCCTACCCTCATGTTTTCACTTATCTCTCCACCTTCTTCCAACATTGTACATTTGGGTTCTCCTTTATGCCCTTACCTCACCGTTTAATACAGACTTTACCTCACCAAAATCACCCTCACCCCACCCTCACCCATTCCCACTGTCTCAGGAAGAAGCTCATGTCTCAGGACCCAGTGGGTTTCTGCAGCCAAGTGAGGCATGCAGCTGTACATGAGACAGCCACTTTGCATGCAAACAGTCCAGAGAGATGCCTCCCCCTGGGTTGTGAGGTGGTAATTATCCCCTGGCGCACCTGAGCTCTTGCGCTTTAGCAAATGTGGTAGCTGCTCACAACCCATCCTCCTTTGAAGTGGCCCACAGAGCACCAATGACACAGTTCAGCAGCATCTGAACTAAGTAATTGCTATTTACTTACACTAATAAATGCCCAGGGACTTTTGTGTCAACTTCTGCTTTCAAATCAATCCCACAAAATATTGCAATTCTTTTTCATGATGAAGACTTTAAAAGAGCAGAACATGGGCAGGATTTTGGGTTAAGATGCATTAGGTTTCTCTAGGGGACTGCCCATTTTTGTCTGGGTTTTTCTTTTAAAGTTTTTCTCCTAATGGGCTCCAGATTCTCTGAGGGGGTGTCAAAGTGATTTGGTCATCCAGAGAGAACCTCATCTTTCCTTTTTCTTTCCTCACTTTCTTTATCCCTAAAGGAGACGGAAGTTTTTTTGGGAGTCGCCTCTGCATTACAGTGCTGGTGTGTGGCTGTCCCTCTTCTCTGTGGCATAAGGATGTTCCTTAACATGGGACACTTTTAAGATTGGAAGAAATCTTTTACTGTGAGAGTGGGGAGGCACCGGAACAGGCTGCCCAAAGAAGTTGTGAATGCTCTACCCCTGTCAGTATTCAAGACCAAGTTGGACAGTGCCTTCAGCAGCCTGGTCTAATGTGAGGTGTCCCTGCCTGTGGCAGTGGGGTTAGAACTAGATCCTAAGGTCCTTTCCAACGCAAACCATTCTATGATTCTAAGCCATTCTACGATTTGGCTGGACAGCGTGCTGGGACATCTGGACTAGGTAGTGCTTTGCCAAGATGGGTTAAACCAGATGATCCCTGAGATCCCTTCCAACCTTCCATTCCATGATTCTGTGATGGGTAAGCCATTGCACACGTGACATACAAATGGACAGGTACTAATGCTGGGGTGTCACACACACATATGTGCATTGTTTTCAATTACCAAACTACAGCTTCTTTTGTCAATTATATCTATAGAATTAGCTGTTTTATCAGTGATGACTACTACACACCAGCATCAATCCTTGCATCACTTTGAAACCAAAGCAGAAGAGAAGCTGCGTGGAGACCTCATAGCAGCCTTCCAGTATCTGAAGGGGGCCTATAGGGATGCTGGGGAGGGACTCTTCATTAGGGACTGTAATGATAGGACAGGGGGTAAAGGGTTTAAACTCAAACATGGGAAATTTGGGTTAGATATAAGGAAGAAGCTCTTTACTGTGGGTGTTGAGGCACTGGAATGGGTTGCCCAAGGAAGTTGTGAATGCTCCATCCCTGGTAGTGTTCATGGCCAGGTTGGACAGAGCCTTGGGTGAGATGGTTTAGTGTGAGGTGTCCCTGCCCATGGCAGGGGGGCTGGAACTAGATGATCCTAAGGTCCTTTCCAACCCAAACCATTCTATGATTTTAGAATATGAAAGGTGTGATGCATTTCTACTAGGATCTGTGAAGTGTCCCATGTTTTTTTCATAGCTGACCTGAAACTGAAACTGAATTAAAAAAAAAATAAAATATACAGATTTGTGACTTCCTGTACCTACTAGTTAAATAACCATAATAAGTCCTGTATGGGATAGCTTAACAAATGAAAACTGGAACACAACTGAAAAATAGCAGGTCCTAAAACCAAAGGAGATGGAATTATTGTTTGAACAGAATAATCATTGCTGAAAGATTTCATATTGAGCCTCCAGATGATTCCAAGTCAAAACCAGATGAAATGCATAGAGGTTTCAGAGCACTTACATTCCTTGGTATTAGGAGGCGCCAGCAAGCACGAGTAGCAAACCATCCCGTATATGTTGCGAGGTCTGTTTTCCAGCATGTAGTAACTGAAACGGAGGGCAAGATGAGGCAAAACAGTGTAAATTAATATGCTACAACAGAGCATGGTTCATCAGCAACCAATTATACTGAGATAAAATCATTTAAAAAAAACTTCTATAAGCAATTTGATGCAAAGATGAGTCTTTTTTTTTTTTAAGCTGCCTGAATAGAGACAGTGTTTCTCTTCTTCCTTTCCTCCTAAAATGCAATTAATTAACCATCAAGCCTACATGACAAGAAGTAGTATCATTGCCTAAACCAACATTATACTCCCTGCTGAGTTCAAGCTTCAGTTTATAGCATGCCCTGAAATAAGACTTTTCAAAACAAGGGAATGCTTTTTTTTGAAGTAGTAATCTTTTAGGCAAGACCACCAGTTGGATATGGTTGGCTAATTTTCTTCACAATCACCATAAGAATAATTACCTTAATGCTAGAACCAAATCTGAGCCAAATCAGAATAAAAAATACAGCAAAACTCACCACATTTATGAGGAAAGACAGATTAGGTTTTACAGCTTTTGGGTTTATTTAGTTCCTTGCTCTACAGTTTGTAAGTTAGTTCCTGATAGTGGTATTGAAGATTGAAGGAAAGGTTTTCATAATTTGAACTTTTGGGCTGCTAATAAAGTTAGTGTTGAAATAAGGTAATTGGTTATGCAAGAATTGGATCCACAGGAAAGCTAATGAGTAAATTACATTAAAATCATACATGGATGGTGTTATGGATACGTCTTTACAAACCACTTGTAAATCACTACAAATTTTAATGAAGGGATGAATAAATTCATAATCCATTTATGCAGACAAGTACTCGACATGATAAACACTTTACACAATGGGGAATCTGTTTTCTGCTCTTACATACCTGTCTATGCACGTGCAGGATGTTTTTTCTGGAAAACCTATGCACTGTTAGGAAATTACTGCTGAAACTGTCCATCAAAATCAGTTTGTCATTAATGAATGCCCCAGCCTACAAGTAAGGGATAAAAGTCCAGGAAGTGGAGTACACAGAGATGCAAGCAGGCAACAGGGGCTGGAGGTACCTCAGAGAGCTCGTAAACTGAGCATGGTTCCTCCTTTATTTGTCGCTGGTTTTAAAAAATTCAAAGATTCACCCTCATTCTTCCCTTCAAATGTCTCTTGTGCCCCATCTGCCAATCTACCCTTCTCTCAGGAGTAAAACTACATCTTTCCTCTCTTATGGGGGCCTGTGGACATTAGACAGTGAAGCAGTTAATAAATAAGCAGGAAATGCCTGCCAAAGCACAAAAAAAGAAAAAAGAAAAGGGTGGCAGGCCAAAGATACTTATAAATTTGTAAAGAAAAATACAGGACAGGAAGGATCCACAGTCTAACAGCCACAGTGGTTTAGGAAAGACAAACAACCCTTCCGACAGTTAATTAAATCAAGCTGGTGGAATATTTCTCAGTTTTTGCCACAATGCGGAATGATGGAGGACGTGCAAAGAAAACTGAAGAAGATGCTCGTGGCAAGCAACTGTTCACTCACATGAGAAGGAAGCTCTGCAGCTGCAGACATTAATGATTCACCCCTATGAAGGATCAGCAACATATTTGTGTTTCTGGCTACTTTGCACTGCACCAAATACTAAAGGCAGTGTTGGAAATACCCAATCCCTTTGCATCAGTAACTACAGGGAAGTGACACAGTAACGAAATAATGAAATTTTGATGGTGTTACTCTTCCACCTCTTTCTTGAAAAGGGGAAGCATCAGTAGTGGAAGCATCTCTGAATACACTTTAAAAGAAAATTATCCCTTTGTAATTCCAGAGACTTGCTCCAAGCTGAAATATGTGCTGGGACAACATGAAGGGTATGTATCATGTACACTTGGCCTGTTCTTACTCCTCTGTGGGTTTCCACTCAGGACTGCTACTGAGGACAGATGGCTAGCCTAGAGGGACCCTTGCTCTGACCTGCTGTATCTGCTTCTAGTTGGCTGTGATCTCAGTCATGCTCCAAGAACACCTAAGGGATCATCCCATTGAGGGAAGTAGTCGAAAGTGTCAATTGCACCTAATTTCCAAGTTACTGACCTGTCCTATTTACCATGATGGAATTGCTTCTGGGCAGGAGCAGAGTATGAAGCACTGTCCAAGGAGGTTAGGCACGCTAGATACCTCCAGCGTTCTCTGGCAGATGAACTTTGGTTTTGAGGATCATAGCTTTGGACCTAAGCCTTTACATTCTTCCCTGGCTACAGTCTTGCATCCTTCTTGTGAGTATGACAAATAGTGTTATTCCTATGTCATATGAAAGGGAACTGATACACTGAGAAGTAGTGGATGATCCATGCTCTTGTACCAACGGTCTCCTTCTCTTAAACTGATTATAAGTAACAGTGAAAAAATAGAAGGAAGAATATATAATTATCCAGCACCTATTTTAAGGCAAATGACAGAGAAAGGAACTTTTAGCCACTGGGAAAAGGCTGCCAGTTCAGTGGTGTTTTGTCTAAAAACTTAAGGTCAGAGTGTCTTTGCTCATCTTTTCCTCAGGCTGCTGTACTGAGCTGGTGAAAAGTAGCAAAGGGATGAGATGTCCCTAAATATAGATCACAGCATGTGGACTGTTACCTTGGGAAGGTCTGCAGTGCCTTACGGAATCACTGTCCTCTGAAACGGAAACCTTATTTTTTCCCTCCCATTGACTCAGGGGCTCTTTGAGGTTTAGTGCCCAGGGAAGGGAGAACTCTGCCAGCTGCCACTCACCCAGGCATGTGACTGTCCCTGTGTCACTGGGGCAATGAGGAAGGGTTGCTGGGCAGCCAGCGCTCCTTGACAGTTCTCTGCCCTAACACTGGATTTCCCCCACCATCACTCAGGAGCAGCCTCTGGGGTCTCTAAGTTGTGTGGGGAGTCAAGGCAGCTCCAGAGCTTGCCTTAGCCAGCATTGAGTTCATCCTGAGAATTTCGTGTCTTCATGCTTGGAGTAAGAGGGTGTTTCTCCTTAACTGCTGGCTTTGTCAAACCATCCCAGGACCTGGGAGTCACACGGAGAATGGCATGTAGCCAGACTTGGGCAGGCCAGTTTCTGCTACAGGTTACACCTGTGCAAACACAATGTTTTGAGATTATTCCCCAAGTGCCAGCTGTACAAGCTGATTATTTTCAGCAAGCACCCTGCTCCCACCTGGGTGACCCCATTAGTCCCGACAGAAATTGCAAAACAGAGACTGTGGCCACTATTTAACTTTCTTGCTCTTTATGATGTATGAGGGGAAGTCAAGAGGGAGCTCTTTTCAAATCACATCATCAGTCTGTTCGGCTGGCAGCTAGACAAGTCCTTTGTTTTGTTTGTAAACTGTGAAAATTTCACACAGGCTCACTGATACAGTAAACCTGGAAGCTTGCAGGGCCTCCTTAACAGGGTTTCCTGCCCTTTAAGTAGTGTGGGTTATTCAGCATCTGCAAACTGCACAAAAGCCAAATGTCAGTAGGAATTACTCTCTAAACCAAAGAAACACACTGGCAGAAACTGGAAAGGTATGTAAGGTGAGCTGGTGTTTGAGAGTATTTACTCAACCTACAAAATAAAAAGTGTTGAGAAAGCAAATGTATGCCTGGGTTTGGAGGCTTTCAAAGGCAATATAGTCAGGAATATATTGTTAGCATATTCAATGTAAAAACACTTTCTCACCGTTGCTATCAGAATTATACTGAGTTTGAGACCATTAAAAAGATGGACTTACTAAAAAAACATCCATTTTAAGCCCGTTCAAACTTCCCTGGAATTTGTTTTCATTCTGAACAGCAGCACACACACCACATTAGAAGCTCTAAAGACTCCTTTCTGTTGGTTAGAAGGGACCCCGAGAGACTAAATGCCTCGGTAAATCTCACCTAATAGCTATGTTAGCTAATGCCGTCAACTACTGACAGATCTGCCAGCTGGTCACATCTGGAGAAGAGATATTTTACGTTCCTAAACATACCATAGTGCTAGCATGGACCTTACGGGGCATCCAGGGCATCTTCATGGAGGTCGTTCGTAGGATGCAAGACTTATGAGGTAGCCATCTGAAACCACAGCTGAAGCCAAGCTGGATTTCTGACAGTGTCTAAAATGGCACTGCACACCTGTCCTAGGGTACATGAACTGCTCCCTTTCCACTTCTAGAGAGGAGAAGTTTTAGTTTTTCTTGTTTCTAGTTGTTTTTTCAGTGAGATTTCAGTAAGGTTACTGTTATCTTCTGATTTACTGAATTCACTGATGCTTTTGAAACATTTAGATGTATTGCTTTACAGAGACTGAAAAGCACAGTTCACCAGTATCGTACCTACAGTCAGCTAGGACCTGAAGAAAGGCTGTCAGGGATTTTGACATCAGAAAGGTATTTTGCAGCGCTTTGTGTAGAGCAAAGGTTAAGTCCTTACCCTGGGAGACAAGGACCGCACTCAGCATCATTCTCCTGATCACCAGGTGTCAAGACTGTGGCTCGGAAAAAACCCTCACAGTCTTTGTGCCGCCTGCATATCTGGTAACCTCCTCTGGAGAACTTCTCTGAAGGGCAGGGGATGCAGCCGTAGTCCTCATCTTTGGTGCCATATCCACATGTCTGCAACAACACAAAGTCACTGACAGGCAGGCTTGTGGTGCACACCTGCTTCTAGAAAAAGGAAATGTTCATAGCCTGGCCAGTTGGCTTTGTGGCACAACGTCAAGGGAAAGAAGTCTGTCATTTGGTACCTTAGTGTCTGTGCTAAAAAGGCCATGGAAGGATATAAGGATGCACCAAGCTGTGTGCTGGAGAGGAAAACAGGGAACCAGAGCATTGTACTCCTTGAAAGTGCCCCCCCCCCCCCCCCCAGCTATTTATACCATATTCCAGCAAGCCATGGAAGTGAATTTCAGCTGCTGCTCAGATAGAAAGTGAACTGAAAATTGAAGAGCAGAGACGATTAAAGGGGAAGCATGGCTACAGCAGGGATATCAGCAATCTTGCTTTCATGCTAGGAGAGCCCAGAGGGAACAGCACAAAAAACAATATTCAGATGAGATTTCATAACCTCTGAACTCACATGTCCCAGCTGAACATTACGTTCAGATTAAACAAAACTAAAACCAACTGGTTATTATTCAAACGTACTTGCTCAGGACTACCAACTGCGCGAAATTCTTGCAATAGGATGTTTATCCAATTAAAACCAAACACGACTTCAGTAATTTTTTTTTTTTTAATAAGCAACAATTATCTGCTGTAAATCAAATGGTTACTTAGGAACTGTAATTTAAATTGTTGCAGAAGCATCCAAGTTCCTTTAGTGCCAAAATATCTTAGTGGGAGAGCAAAATTAAGTCCTCGGTGTGGGGGGCCAGCAGGCACAGCAGACTGACCTATTCATCACACCATGCCAGAACAGAGCATCGGACTGTAAATAACTATTGAGATGAGAATGGACTGGCAGAGACTGTGTTTGAAACTTTTACCTTACAACTTTTACAACATTGCTTTTGACAGGCTGCTTCTGGGATGAGACAGGCAAGGTGCCCTGCTCCCATGACATGCTTGCAGGGGTAATGCTTAAGCATCTCTGTCCATACCCATTTTCTCTCCTATCCATATAGTACCACCACGTAACAAAGCATTTGGTTTTGCTTTTGGTGCTGGATATGTGTTCCCTACCAGCAGAAGAAGCTGAAATTACCATGTAAGGCTCTTCGCCCGGCTCGCACTTGGGGCAGTCGTGGCACATGCCAGTGGTCTGGTTGTAGTATTCGTTCTCACCGCAGTTGGAGTATTCAGCACTGGCAGAGTACACCAGGGAGACCTGTCACCAGAGAGCATCACACAGCACCATCACTTCCACTGCCTTTGTCTCCCAAGCTTTGTCCCCCCTCCCTTGCCCAGCTGCTGTGGCTCAGAAGGCAACAGGACCAGCATTGCAGCGTGAAGCACCCCTAAAGCTCAGAAACAGAAGTGGTGCCACTATGTGGGATGGAGGCAGATACAGTTTTCAGTAACCTGGTTCTTCTAAGAGTTTTTCAGAGCACTGATGTTTGTGCTTGTTGGCAAAACCACTCCTTAAAATACTGAATGCCATGATTCCTGATCCATTAATTCTCACACTCTTCTGCACAACAAATGCCTGAGTTTACACCCTCACCCTTCCCAGCTCTAATGAGCCTTCACAAATGTGACTGCAAGGGACAATTATAATGAGATAATGTGCTGCCTTGGGCCTCAACTATGAGAGGGCTGTGCTTCATGTGACACCTAGGCTCATCAGCTCTTCCACTGCCTTCTGCTTCTGCTCCATTCTGAGTCCTTCTCCTTCCCCTCCTCCCTTGCAGCCTCAGTTTAAGCAGCACATGCCCAGGTGTTTTATTGAGTGGAAACCAATCACTGCATCAGGGTTCAGTTCCTAAGTTGCCTGTGGCTGTGCCATGACTATTCACAGATGTTTGCAAAGACCCAAGCAGGTATCTTTGAACACTGGGGAGACGTATATGCACATAAATACCTACCACCAGAAAAGGGAACACGTGAGTCCATTTACATTCACCTAGATGAGCCATGCTCTCTTGATACTTCACCTGAAAAGATAGAATTGGTGATTGTTTATGAACATAAGTAAATATTTGTGTGTTGCCAAAATAAGAACAGAAGGGCTTATAAGCAGAGAAAAGGTTACATGGCAGCAATGCCCAGAGGTCTAAACAAAGAGAGGGGAAGATGTGCACGTGCACTCATACACAAAGGAGTGCTACACACCCTTACTGAACATCTCTTTCCTCTCTTTGAGAAGACTGATGGCATGAGGGAGTCTGGTCTTGCAACAGTAATAAAAGCCTGTGAAAGATGAGGAACCAGCTCTGAGCTCTGGCACTTCTTGGCTCACTGGGAAATCCTCCCACAGAGGAACTGAGTGCTGTCTTGACTGCTAAATGAAAGAGGGCTGGGGATCAGTAGCCTGGCTTGTGTCCACACCACTTAGTGCTTAACCCCACTAGACTAGATTTGTCTGGTAAGATGTAGGTGGAGAAGCCAAAAGCAGAGCCAGGGAGTGAACCGATGGCAAGCAGCACAGGCAGTTGGTATGCCAAGCTATACCTTCCTTGCCGGGTCCTGCAGATCACAGTATCACAGTATCACAGTATGCTAGAGATTGGAAGGGACCTCGAAAGATCATCTAGTCCAATCCCCCTGCCGGAGCAGGAACACCTAGATAATGTTACACAGGAATGTGTCCAGGCGGGTTTTGAATGTCTCCAGGGAAGGAGACTCCACAACCTCCCTGGGCAGCCTGTTCCAGTGTTCCGTCACCCTCACTGAGAAGAAGTTTCTTCTCAAGTTTAAGTGGAACCTCTTGTGTTCCAGTTTGTACCCATTACCCCTTGTCCTATCATTGTTTGTCACTGAGTAGAGCCTGGCTCCATCCTCGTGACACTCCCCCTTTATATATTTATAGACACTTATAAGGTCACCCCTCAGTCTCCTCTTCTCCAAACTATAGAGACCCAGCTCCCTCAGTCTTTCCTCATAAGGGAGATGCTGCCTTTTCCTGGAGGAAGCAAAGGCTGCTTTTTGTTCTTGATAAGCAAACTGCAGATTTAAGAGTTTAGACCCCAGGAAGAATCCAAATTTTATATTTCAAATGCTATTACAATAGTTAGGGAAAAGAAAGGCTGCAATCTCTGTTATAAACACGTGTTAATTTATTTCATTTATTCAAAATAATTATTTTGACTGAGAACTAATGTTGCAGATTCATGTACTATATTTCTTTCTAAGGGGAAAAAAGAGATGCGAAAAGGAGGCACAAATTGTTTCGTTAGCATGATACAACATATTTAATGGTATTATTACAGCACATAATATGCCCTAGGGATTTTACTGCTTCAAATTGCAAATGTTTGAGATACAATTGCAACACTTTGGTCCTAGCAGATATAAACTGTTCTTTAAATTTTCCAGGTCTCAGACACTCAAGGCTTTTAGTCTCCCAGAAGAGTACAATTACAGCTTTGTGCCACATTTGAGGATACAACCTACATGAGAGCAGTGCTCTAGTATTTGCGATAGCTGCTAACATTTACATTTTTAAACACTAAGTAGATTAAGCAAAGATTATATCACTCCAGCATCAAGCTATGAACTTGCTTTATACGTTCCTTCCAGCAACTGGGCTAGCTGAGACAGGTAGCTGGGTGGGTGGGTGGACAACCTGAATTATATTAATTTCTGCAGGAAATTAAAGTTTGAAACCTAGAAACAAAAGAGAATCAGAGATAAATTGTCCCAAATATAGAGGTAAGAGATGGAAAATAGTAATGCAATTGTATAAACTGTCAAACATGTAAGTTGGACAAAGGCTTTGTCTGTGACAGTGCAGTTGCTTGGAAAAGTTCCAAAGACAGAGTCTTAACGCATATGTCTGTTAAACTGAACCCTAATTATAAAAGAGCTTGTTAGACTTTAAATATGAATATAATTATGTCCGTGTCCCTACTGATAGTGCAAAATTGTTGTTTTCATTATAAATCAGATCTGAGGCTGCTCAGGACCAAGAATTTCACTAGGAAAGCTTGAATCTAAAACTTTACAGTAAGAACATGTCTTACGGTAAAAACATGCTTCGGTTGCTTTCAAGCCACGCAGATGTTTGCTGTTTGAGGTACTTGTATGCAATCATAGCCAGATTTGAAAAATGGAAATGAAGAATTGTAGCCCATTAATGTAGAATACAATCTTCTCCATACATTTGGCATTTGGCATTTATTTACATAAAATGTTGAAATTGTCAAGTTATACATATATACATAAAATATTTTTCCATCTCAATATAAATATGCATGCGGGGGTATATTTTATATGTAAACATACACTTTTTTCCCCTGCATTCCATCATTATACACAGCAATATGTCAAACTTATGGGAAATACTTTTTTAACTGGAAAAAGCCAGTTCAAATTGCTGAATACGGCCAGATTAGAACTCTAGGGGGGACTTTTTGCCCAGATTGGAGTACCAAAATGTTAAATGCAATTATTCATCTGCCTAAATAAGTGCAGTGCTATAAACTGGCAGAGTTATTTTCTGTTTGTTTTTTTTTTTCCTTCCTCTCTTTTTTTTTTTCCTCTCCTGCTTTGGAGTTAAAAACCAAAGCACTAATTTTCTAACACAAGAGTGGGGAAAGCAGATGCAGGAGTTTTCTGGCAGTAGGGCTATAGATACCTCCTTAGCAGGGGTGATATCTGAAGCTATATATCAAGATATGCCAGGCAGATCTTGGACTTGCTGTCTATTTTCAGGCATGTTAATTTATACCTGTGCTATATTATCTGTCAGGCAGTAATCCCATTCACACAACAAGGGATCTTCTAGTGCTAAGATCACTTTTGTCTCTAGCTGACATTGGTGAAAACATGCAAAGCTTGGACAATCAGGCAGCATCTGCCAAGAAGCAGGAAAAAGAGTGACCAGTTTTTATGGCTCCTAATCATTAAAAGCAATTAGTTCTTAATGAATTAACAGATGCTGCACTTTTTCTTTGTATTCTGCCATGCTTTGACTAAAGAAAATGACTCTCCCTGGGATGGCATGCAATGGTAAGCAGGAAGCAGCTGGACATGTGGTTTTGCTGGGACCACGGGATCACTCTTAAGCAATTTGGGATCTCCAGCAGCTCATCTACAGATCCTGATGTGTGTCTTTGTTTAGGCTGTGTTGGTGTCTCCAGAGAGGAGATGTAAAACACAGACCTAATGTCTTTGTGGATCAGGTGTGCAACATGCAGCAAGCCTCATCATGACTAGAGGGGGTTGCTAATTACAGCCATATTTGCCTTTTGGGCATATTTGTTAATAGCTGTTAAAAATATACACATAAGCTGACAGGAAAAGGAAGACTATTTTCCCAGTGGCAACTGCAGCAAGAAATGCTAGAGCGTCCTTGTCTCATCTTCTCTCCTGTAAACTGAGAGGCACAAATTTGGCCTAGGGGAATGTGAAAAGAGATGCTTGAGACCCTATTTCTCCAATATTGCTCCTCCCAGATGAAAGTCCCTTCTAGTGTTGGTGGTTTCTTACCAAGAACTGACTGATATAAATGGGCAGAGAAGAGATTCAGAGCAGCCCTGTGGAGAAGGACTTGGGGGTGGGGGTGTTGGTTGATGAGAAAATGAACATGAGCCGGCTTCAGTGTGCGCTTGCAGCCCAGAAAGCCAACCGTATCCTGGGCTGCATCAAAAGGAGCATGACCAGCAGGTTGAAGGAGGTGATCCTGCCCCTCTACTCTGCTCTTGTGAGACCTCACCTGGAGTATTTATTGTGTGCAGTTCTGGTGTCCTCAACATAAAAAGGACATGGAACTGTTGGAACAAGTCCAGAGGAGGGCCAGGAGGATGATCAGGGGACTGGAGAACCTCCCATATGAAGACAGGCTGAGAAAGTTGGGGCTATTCAGCCTGGAGAAGAGAAGGCTGCATGGAGACCTCATAGCAGCCTCCCAGTATCTGAAGGGGGGCTATAGGGATGCTGGGGAGCAACTCTTCATTAGGGACTGTAGTGACAGGACAAGGGGTAATGGGTTAAAACTTAAACAGGGAAGTTTAGATTGGATATAAGGAAGAAATTCTTTACTGTAAGGGTGGTGAGGTACTGGGATGGGTTGCCCAGGGAAGTTGTGAATTCTCCATCCCTGGCGGTGTTCAAGGCCAGGTTGGACAGAGCCTTGGGTGACATGGTTTAGTGTGAGGTGTCGCTGCCCATGGCAGCGGGGTTTGGAACTAGATGATCTTAAGGTCCTTTCCAACCCTAACTATTCTATATTTCTATGATTCTATGATACATAAATAAATCACCAAGCAGAAAATGCTTAGTTCATGCTGTCTAAAAGAGAAAAAGCATAATTCATGGCAGTCAGCCTTTGGATTTTATAATTTACTTAGATTATAAGGTAGTGCTGCCATGGTATTTCCATGAATCCACCCATGAATAAACGGAGTAAATATTGGAAATATGCAAACAATGAGGTTACCACAGCTGGTGGTCTAAGCTAAAGCTCATGAAAGCTCATGACTTTCAATGGCCTACCTTGCATATTATTTTAATTCTGTGGCTTCAGTAATTAACATAGTGCAAAAGATAATTTCCTATTGTAGACTTCTTGTTTTTTTAAATATAAGTTTGAAAAAAGGAGGAAAACAAACACATGGGTTGAAGCACAGAAATATGTGTGCCTTAATGTTGTATAGAAGCATGGGTTTTTTGGTGTCTGCTTTCCTTCAGTTTCATCACTGATGCAGATATGCTTCAAGGACATAAAACTTGACTTTGCAAAAGGGAAAGGTACAACTGCTGTCTCAGACAACTTCACCATTTGATATTTCTATATTGTAGAATAGTTCATGTTGTAAGGGACCTTCAAAGCTCATCTAGTCCAACCCCCTTCCAGTGAGCAGGGACATCTTCGACTAGACCAGGTTGCTCAGAGCCACATCCAGCCTTGAACACTGCAAAGGATGGAGCATCTACCACTTCCCTGGGCAACTTGTTCCAGTATTTCACCATAGAATAGTTAGGGTTGGAAATG